TAATCTTTTAAAGTACTGGCAGATTAATCTTATGGATTAAAAGGTGTAAAAAGACATGACAATAAAGTGTAATACATGATTGTGAACCAGATTCTCTTCCTGTAAGACATTTTGGGACATTTGGCAAAACTTGGATAAGGTCTGAAAAATCCAGCAATGTATTGTGACTGTACCCATTTCGAAGAGAGTGTGGCGGGACTGTAGGAAAGTACCTGTGTAGAAAATTCACACTGGGGCCTCCCTGGTAGTGCAAGGGTTAAGCACAGCCCTATGAAGCTATTCTCAGCCTCCACAGCAGTAATTCTCTCACCCTCAGCAGTGTATTTCAGCAGATCTGCCTGTTCTGCTCCCAGCTCTGTCTCTGGTGAATCCTCTCACCCCCCGCACCTCTGGCCTGTACCCCAGTTCTTGTATGTATAAATAAATTAATCTTTAAAAAAAGGCAAAAAAGAGGGGGTGGCTTTCGAGGGGCCTTGAGAGCATAGCTTATTGTCACAGACGTGTTCCATTCAATCATTATAAACAACAATAAGGATATTTTCCCTTTTCCTTAAAATCTGAGTAAGTTGCTACTTTTCAAAACACACTCACTTCTATAGCAACCTGTACAGAGTGTAACTAAGACGGGAGGAGACCAGATACAGCGACTCTTTCTTCCCTTGACAGATGGGAAACAGCCGAAGGGCAGGAACAAACCCATGTCACTCACTTCTACAAACCAGCCGGCGCCTCCCTAGCCTCTTCAGTGCCGCCTGCATCTCCTGGTTCCGCAGGGTGTAGATCATGGGGTTGAGCATGGGGGTCATGACTGTGTGGCTGATGGACACAGCCTTGTCCATGGAGAAGGAGACAAAAGGCCGGGCATAGAGGTAAATGCTTGGAATGAAGACCATCGACACCACGATGATGTGGGTGGTACAGGTGGAAGCCGCCTTCCTCCTGGCCTGCTCTGAGTGTGCCCTGAGCATCACCAGGATGACTGAGTAGGAGACCAGGAGGAGGAAGAACCAGATGACATCCAGCATGCCACTGTTGCAGATCATGAGGAACTCCAGGACGGAAGTGTCTGTGCAGGCGAGTCTCAGCACTTGTGGAACATCACAGTAGAAGTTATCCAGGATGTTGGGGCCACAAAATGGCAGTGGGAGCAGCAGCACCAGTTGACTGATGGAGTGGACGAAACCTACCATCCAGGCTGTCACCACCAGTCCCACACAGAGCTGAGTGTTCATGATGGTGACATAGTGGAGGGGCCGGGAGATGGCGACCAGGCGGTCATAAGCCATCACTGAGAGGAAGAAGACCATGGCACCTCCCAGAAAGTGGAAGAAGAAGAGCTGGGCCATGCAGCCCTGGTAGGAGATTGTCTTCTTCTCAGAGAGGAAGTCCACCAGCATCTTTGGGGCTGTGACCGAGGAGAAACAGAAGTCTAAGAGAGCCAGGTTTCTCAGCAAAAAGTACATGGGCGTGTGGAGCTTGGAGTCCAAGGTCACTGTGATCACTATTAGGAGATTTCCCACGACAGTGGTGGTGTAGACAAACAGGAACACAACAAACAGGAAAATCTGGAGCTCCCACATTTGTGAGAACCCCAGGAAAACAAACTCTGATACCCGGGTGAGGTTCCCTGGCTCCATGGTATCCTCTCCATACACCTAAAGAAAATGAACCACAGACTTAGATGCATGAAGTCACTACTAGCCCTTCTAGAATCTAGACCTCAGAACCAAGTTGTCCAGGTACATAGGGTGGACACCCTCATGTGTGGTCCATGGCAGAGCTGCTTATTCAGAGGCCCTCTCTCGGGGGAATTATGCTTATGAGCTACGTTAATGTCATCCAGAGACATAAGCAGCCTGCCTTTCAAAGAGTCAGTGGAACACTGCATAGTCTGACAAAACACTTGGAATTCAGGAGACCCTGAGCCAAATTTCAGATCTTCCATTTCCTTGAGCTTAGACCTTGAGTAAGTTACTGACTCTCTTTGAGCCTCAGTTTCCACATCTATAAGGTGGGAATAAAATCATTTTCTTTACAACATTTTCTGAGCACTTAAGGAAAATGACACATGTTAGTTTCTGTGGACAGAGCCTACAGTAGAAACCATTATCACGCTCATCTGTGTCCTCTCCTGCTCGAAAGACACCCTCCCTTCTCAGTCTCCAATAAATTTTTCTACCAATCATTCTTTTTTTTTTTTTTTTAAAGAGGCATGTTTTATTTATTTATTTGTTTGTTTGTTTGTTTTGTTTATACATGCACTGGGTACAGTCAGAAGCGCGGGAGGGTGAGAGAATTCACCAGAGCCAGAGTGGGGAGCAGAGCAGGCAGAAGGCCCGAAGGACACTGCTGAGGGGAGCAGCGGGCGGCAGGAGAGGTCTGCGCGCCATGTGGGACCCTCCTCTGGTGGCCGGGGACCAGCCGGGGATCGAACTGGCGCTGCAGAGGCTGCGGGCAGCTTCGCAACCCAGCGCTCAACCGCTGCGCCACGGGGGAGGCCCTCTACCAATCATTCTTCATGCCACATTAACACATCATGATCTTTCACGTATCTGTGCTTCCTCTGTAATTCAGCTGCCGGTCCCAGAAGCACGTATCTGGAAGTACAATGTCTGTGCCCTCAGCGCCCGAGCTTGCTCTTGCTCAGTGCTTACTAACCCCTGGCATGACCTGCTGGGTAGGTGAACAGTTCCAGGGCTCACAAATCCACCAGAGGAGCCCTTGCCACAGCTGGTACCCAGAACATGCTGTTTCTCCCCACCCCTCCATGAAGGTAGCCTCTTACTGGTTGAGGCCCCCCAGAGTATATGAAAGGGGGACAGACTATTTCATTAAATTAAGAAATAGAGGTGAATATATTGTTTTCAGGAGACTGTGAGCTCTTCTGAAAGAACAGCAATTTTAGAATATGATTTTGAACCCAAGGGTGGGAGAGAAGGGAAAATGCTGAGGAAAAGAGATGAGGAATTTAAAGGGACATGATAAGGAAGGGAGGTGGGGAAATAGAACAAGACAAAGAAGGGGATGGAAAGTGGGAGTAGGGGGAGAGCAGCCCAAGGTGAAGGAGGTAGGGGATGACAGGGGCTGATCTTCTCCCACTTCCCTGCCCTGACTGGATTTCTCATGCTCTCTCGCACGACCTACTGCAATCTATTGTTGCCGAAAACCATTCTCTTCTTGTCTTTCTCTTCCATTTGCTTCAGCTCCAGTCTGCCTTCTACTCAGCTGTGCTGGAGACCTGTCCTGGAGCCCTCTCTAAGCTCATCTGATCAAGATCATGTTCCTCTTTCACTTGTATTCCTGTATTGGGGGGTGGCATGCTCAGCGCGCCAGGCCCCTTTCCCATGCCTTGCTCTGTGCCTCTCTTCATCTGACTGTTTTCTTCATCTGACTGTGCCTCTCTTCATCTGACTGTTATAATAAACCAGTGATCTCACAAGTAGAATGTTTCTCAGAACCATTCTAGCAAATTGAACAAGCCCAAAGAGGTGGCAGGTGATTGGCATCTGGAGTGGGGGAGGGAGGCAGCCTTGCAGGAATGAGCTTTAAACCCGTGGTGTCTGAGGCTATCTTCCGGGAAACAGAGTCAGAATTACACTGAGCGGTTGAGTTGTAGGACATCCAGCTGGTGTCACAGAGAAATCCTAGGAGGTGAGGAGAACCATCTTCGTCCTACCTCCACCCTCTCACCCCCACATAGCATTGGATTTGGTGACCAGAATCTTTATAGTCACCCACTCTGTTACTCCTTTCAGTATTTCTGCTAAGCAGAAAGAATTCTTTATTTTCCTGAGTTCTCCTAATAATTTGAAAATGCTGTTGTTATAGTGTTGAGTCCAGGGCAAGTTAGGGTTACACAGGCAGCTTCAGGAACAGCAGAGACTTCGGGAGAATTAAGGGATGCCTCTGAGATAAGGGCAGAGAAATTCAGGAGGGCTAATGAGGGCAGTAAATTTTAAGGTTAAAATTTGAGACAGTAAATTTTAGCAGACCTTGGACAGGGGAGGTAAAAAGAGGAACTCTAAGACAAGAGCTGGGAAAATGGGCACATCTGCCCGGAATATAGCCACTAGGAGGAAGAGCCAACACAAAATAGGAAGATGAGATTTTAGAAGAGAGGAAAACAAAGGATTAAATCCTGCTAGACACAGGCCCACAACAGGCTTCCTTGTCCCTCCCAAGTACAGTGTACCTGGGAGTCTTTACTTTCTTCCTTTAAATAAACTTTTTCTTTCCTTTCTAAAAGTTTGTTTCTCTCTGCTTGCTAATCTAACATGTCTGCGATTTCCTTTTTTTACGGCTTCGTGGGACAAGAACCTGTGGTGGTTCAAGGGCTAAGTGAACAGCGCACACCGGCCTCAGTGTTACGTTCATCTGCACCAGCTTCTCTCCTCCACCAAACATCTCAATTTCCCATCTGCAGTAACCCCAGAACTTCAACAGCAACTTTGACATGGCACACGCTCACTACATGGTATCAAATTAGTGTGTTGAGAAGGTAATGGATCATATGGCCTCCACTCGGGGGAGAATTTTTTAGGGGCTTTCCTCATCCCATGTTCCCTATGCCACAGGCAAGTTCTGTGCTCGGCTGCTAAAATTACTGGTTGTCACACGCAAGGTAAAGAAGCAGTTTTCAACCGCACATTCCCCTTGAAGAGTTCCCAGTGCTCTCCTCACATTCTGCATCGACCCCCACCAAGGCGGTCTCTGTGAACGCCCCCACCTTCCAGGAGGTGTTTCCAACAACTTAGCTCCAGCTGACCTGCCAGCAGGATGGAAACTCTCGCCTTCTTCAGCTTGAGAGGGAGAGAAGAGTCCAGGTCTTACATCCTGCTGGGGGTCTTCTCCAGACAGCCTCGCGGTGTCCTGGTGCTTGCCCGCAGCTCACTCACGCTGCTCACGGCGTGGCCCTGGGGCCCAGGAGATATCCTCAGGGAGAAATTACTGGTCTGGGCTTAGGAAGCAGCTGGTCCCCACTGGGGGTGAGGGAGCAGTGGGAGTTGTTAAAAAGTTTCCAAGTCTGCCCAAAATACTTCGTGTTGAGAGGTCTGCCTTGGGGGCAAACCCCCACCAAGGACATTGAGAACTGTAGAGATAAGAAATATAGGATTAGCAGGTTAGAGAGTCTCCTGGGAGTTTTAGAAAGCCCCGTTTCTTACAATGGTTCACTTTACATTACCTGGAGGACATGTTAAAATTCAAAAACTACACACAGTATTTTTTTTAAAGATTTATTTATTTATGCATACAAGAGCTGGGGTACAGGCCAGAGATGCGGGGGGTGTGGGGTGTGAGAGGATTCACCAGAGACAGAGTGGGGAACAGAGAAGGCAGAATGACTGAAATACACTGCTGAGGGGAGCAGCGGGAGAGGTCTGCTTTGCCTTGTGGGTTTCCCTCTGGCCGGCCAGGGATTGAACTCATGCTGCAGAGGCTGCGAATTGCTTCATAATGCGGTGCTTGAGCCACCAGGGAGGCCCTACACACAGTATTTTTTGAAGTAATAGGTCTTAGATAGAGCTTGAGAATTCGCATTTCTAGCAAATGCTAGAAATTTGAACCACCTGATTCAAATTTCACTGTTCTCTGTTGACGTGACAACTCTCTCTCTCAGTATCATCAAACAACTGCTTTGATATCTTACATAAAAATTTAATTGATCTCAACTTGGGCAATATCATACATGGGCAAATGTTTGTATAGTACATTGGAAACCAAAACCCTGTGAAGTCTTTTATTTTGCAGTCATGATACTGAATGCCTGCCTCAGTTGTCCCCAGCCAATAAAAGGAAACAAGAGTTTGAGAAGGAAAGTAGTTCATTTTGTCAACAAACTGAGGAGGGCAGCAGTCTCGCGTCTGAAAAACCACTGTCTTGCTCTTTGGCAGAGTGTAGGGGGATTTATACAAGGGAGTTTTAAAATAAGGGGAAATGAGCAAGAGTCGGCACAGCCTTTTGATGCAGACATGTGCAGATTGGTGAGGGGCAGCACCAACTCTGCTTTGTTAACCCCCTGGTGTTGAATGTCCATGCTATCTGCTTAGGAATGTTCTTTCTTTTCCTTAGAATGCAGGAAGACAAACTTGTTAAGCAAACAAACTTGTTAAATGCAGGAGATAGGAATGCTCCCTTTTGTATCTGGTAGGGCAGGCACTTGCATCACTCAGACCCACGGTTGATTTGCCCCATCCATATCCAATTCCACTACCATTATAGATGAATCTACTACTCTATACATGAATTGTTACAGGATAAAGTTCTTTTCATGTAAGGACTAGTACAAGGAGCACATGTGTTTTCTTTTATGATAAACTGTTTAGAATTAGAATTAACTGACTTTATAACCTTGATATGCTGCAGAATCTGTGATTTCTTAGACAGAGATCTTGGTTCTACATGAGATTTTCAGGTGGATCCTAGTTCTTGTGTTGCAATTATTTAAATAAAGTTTTCTGGCATGTAAAAACACTGTGTTCTTTCACACATACAGGAGATGTTGATTTTAAAATATGAATTCTTCCCAAAATTAAAATTTTAGCCTATTTTAAAACCCTGGTTTAAATTAGCCTGGTTTGACAGGGGGAAAGGAAATAGGTCTTATCAATCTCATTGACTATCAGATGTCACTAACTGTAACTTTATTAAGAGTAAATTACCTGGATTTATTTCTTATGATTCTGATTTCGCTCTCAAAAAATCTCTTGTATATTCTACTTATATCTTTCTCCTCTGAAGTCTCTTAAAAAATAGTATCTACAAAAAGCATACCTAACGTGATAATTAATGGTGAAAATTTTGAAGCTTTCTGATTAAGATCAGGAACAAGTCTCATTTTCAACATTGTACTGGAAGTGTTAGGGGGAAAGGATGTCCTAAAGCTAATTCCATACAGGCTTTGTGGACTCCACCCCCACCCCAGGCCAAAGCCAAAGACACTGGGAACTCCAAATCCCATCACCACCAAAGGGAAGGTGGCTGGGACCTGAGGGTGGGGTTAAGCAGCCAAGTTGGTATAAAGCCAGACACGTGGGCTTTGGGGGGCCCCCCATTTTGGCTCTCCGCCAGCTAGCAGCGTTGGGCCAGCTCTGAGAGTGCCTTTGGGTTTCCAGGTCGGCGGATCGGGTAGGACACATTAAAGACTTTATTTCCCTATTTTCTCCCTGAGTTGTACATTTTCCTTATTTCCTTTTCCCTTGTAGATAAACCTTTTATTAACCTTTTGTGTGTGCCTGTAGTGGAGTATTAATAAGTCCCTTGTAAGCGCGCAGGTGAGGACCCACAGCCAGGCAACCCGTTCAATATCAGGGCTGTCTGATAACAGGAGTCTTGCTTAATATAAGACAAGAAAAGGAAAGGAAAGGCATACAGATTGGAAAGAAAGAAATTAAACTATTTTTGTAGAAAATCTGAAAGAATTGACCAAAAAAACCCTCCTTAAACTAATATGCATGATTGATGGATACAGGGCTAACCTACAAAATTCAATTGCTTTCCTATGTAGTAGAACAAACAAATGCAATTACAATTCAGATGCAATTTGAAATAAAACACACACACACTATTTCCATTTGTATTGCGTAAAATGAAATACTTAATTATAAATCTAACAAATCCATGCATTATATCTATGAGGAAAACTAACACTCTGATGAGCAAAATCCAAGGATTAGATAAGTGGAGAAATAATCCATGATCATGGATAGGATGGGTCAATATAGTGTAGGTGTCAGTTCTTCCTTACTTCTTATATAGATTCAATATAGCCCCAGTTAAAATCCCAGCAAGTTATTTTCTAAGTATTAACAAACTGAGTCTCAAATTTATATAGAGGCAAAAGACTCAGAATAGCCAACTAAATACTGAAGGAGAAGAACAAAGTTGGAGGACTAACACTATCTAACTTCAAGACTTAATACAAAACAAGAGTGTTCAAGACTTAGTTGACAAAAGAATACAAATAAATCAATGAAACAGAACAGAGTCCAGAAATAGACCCATATAAATATGCTCTCAACAGAAACAGAGTCAATACAAAGGAGAAGAGATTGTGTTTTCAACAATGGAGAACAACTGGATGTCCACATTGAAAGAAAGTGAAGTTATAAAAGACTGAACCTCTTTCACAAAAATTAACTCAAAATGGATTACGTAACTACATGTAAAGCATAAAATAATAAAACTAGAAGATAACATAGAAAAGATTTAGACGACCTTGGGTTTGTTTATGACACTTTAAATATCAAGGAGTGATTCATGAAAGAATTAATCCATAATAATTGATTAAAACTATCTAATTTCTATTCCCCCTCTACAGTTTGTTTGAATCAAGATCCAAATAAATTCCAGATAGTGATTGACATTCATTTTAATCTATATGTTTCCCTTACATTTCTCACTTGCAATTTTTTTTTTTTTAAGAAACCACGTTGTCCCAAAGTGTTTCCTGCAGCCTGAATTCTGTCAACTGCATTCTTGTGGTGGTATTTAATGTGTTTCTCTGTCCCTTGTATTTTCTGTAAATTGAATTTAGAAGTTTTCAAAGGAATTTTTTTCAATTTTAAGAAAATTAAAAAAGAGAAAAAAAAAATAGAACACCCACCACTATCCATTATACCCCTTCCACCCTTACTCTTACCTACCACCCTGTTCCCCTCAGGTAATCTCAGTTCAGTTATCAATGTCCTTTACTTTGTTATTATTGTTTTTTACATTTATCTAATTTATCCCCCCAAGTTCCCTCCACTGTGCTGCAAATGGCAAAATTTCATCCTTATAGTGGAATAATATTCCGCTGTGGACACTGCACACCCTTTCTATTCAATCATCTCTCAGTGGGCAATAGTGGTACAATAAACATCGTGGTGTGTATAATTCTTTAAGTTGATGCTTTGGTACCCTTTTGATAGCTACCTAAAAGCAGCATTACTTTGTTTTTTAAGGAAAAACTTATTTAATTTTTTTTTTTTTAAATAATAAATTTTATTTTTATATTCCCCCATACAATTGCAAACGCCCCATTCTGACCCCAATCCTTCCCCTCCCGCCCCCACCCCCCAAAAAGTGTCTCTGGTTCATAGTTCTTTGTTGATTTTGATTTTCACTTTCTTATATTCATTTTCCTGGTCCCTTATTTAAGTTTTCTAGATTCCTGCTATGAGTGAGACCATCCGGTATTTTTCTTTTTCTTTTTGGCTTATTTCGCTGAGCATGATCCCTTCCAGTGCCATCCATGTTGCTGCAAATTGCATGTGTTTATCTTTTTTGAATGCTGAGTAATATTCCATGGTATATATGTACCACATCTTCTTGATCCATTCATCTATTTTTGGGCATTTGGGTTGTTTCCAAAGCTTAGCTATTGTAAACAGTGCTGCTATAAACATAGGAGTGCAGGTGCTCTTTGGAATTGATGTTTCTGTGTCCTTTGGGTAAATACCTAGGAGTGGAATTGCTGGATCATATGGAAGCCTATGTTTAGTAGGTCCAGAAATCTCCACACAGCTCTCCATAGTGGTTGGACCAGTTTGCACTCCCACCAACAGTGCACAAGAGTTCCTTTTTCTCCACATCCTCGCCAACATTTGTTGTTGCTAGTTTTTTTAATATGTGCCATTCTCACTGGTGTGAGATGGTATCTCATGGTAGTTTTGATTTGCATTTCCCTGATTACAAGTGATGTTGAACATTTTTTCATATGTCTGTTGGCCATTTGCATTTCCTCTTCAGAGAAGTTTCTTTTTAGCTCTTCTGCCCATTTTTTGACTGGATTATTTTCTTTGTTGTTGCTGAGTCTCATCAGCTCTTTGCAGATTTTTGTGATCAGTCCTTTATCATTAGTGTTGGGTGCAAAAATGTTCTCCCAGTTGGTGGGGTTTCTCTTTGTTTTTGTTATTGTCTCTTTTGCTGTGCAGAAGCTCTTTAATTTGATGTAGTCCCAGCTGTTTATCTTTCTCTTCACTATCACTGCTTTGGGTGATGTGTCTGTAAAGATGTCTTTGATGTGCAAATCCCGTAGTGTTTCGCCTATATTTCCTTCTATGTATTTTATGGTTTCAGGTCTTATGTCTAGTTCTTTAATCCATTTTG